AGGACAACAACATACCCGCGCCCGCGCGCGCGCGTGTGCATGCGTGTGTGTGTGTGTGTGTGTGTGTGTGTGTGTGTGTGCGCGCGCGCGCGTGCGCAACACCTGGAAAGGCATCATTCTGAATCCGAACCATTTTCCGTGAGAGCTGTGCTGAAAAGTGTGCCACTTGTGATACCACACCATGCCCCTCCATCACTCAGACCTTTAAGGCCCCCCCAGAGGTCCTATAAAGTTTTCTCACAGTTTATTTCTTTTTCTTTCTTTCTCTTCCTTCCTTCCTTGCTTTTCTTTAAGAGCTCACCTCTAAATAATTTCACTTACATTCTGAGAGAGGCCAAGGATCAAAGACCTACATTTCAAAAACAACTCCAAATCCTAAGCCAGCTATTTGCTAGGAGACAATATATTTTATTTCCTATGGGGAGAAAAAGTTTACTCAAGTTTCAGCAGAGACTCCCTTAATGTCAATGGCCTTCCCCACTCTTAACTACTGTGTGCCTGTCAAGGTCACTCCAGCCAGGACTCCCTTTTTTGATCCTATTATGTCCATACACATGCAATAATCAAGTAGTTCTACTACCTCTGCATTTCTGTGCTAATGGGGAGCAGCATGCCACAAGTATAACCAGTTAATGTTGTTCTGTGATAATGAGGCTACAGCTCCCACCAAGGGCAAGTACCGATCTCTTCTCCCTCATCCAGGCAACCCTTCTTCCCACAGCCAAATCCACAGGCCTTTCCACTCTTGGAACGCACTCCTCCAGAGGAACTCCCCAACAGCCTTTCATGTATGCATAATACCAAACTTCTCAGCTCGGCCAGGGAGGAGCATGGAGCCCCTGTCGGGTCCACCCAGCACTTGAACACCTCCACAGGACTGTTCAAAGTTCCCCCATTCACCATGCCCCACCCAGACTGCCGGACATTGATTCCCATAGGCCCTGCACTGCAGAGCACTCCTATAGATAACCCAGGCAGAAACCTGGGTGTCGTCCTAAATGCCTCCTGCTCATAGGCAGTCACATTCAGTTGTCACCAAGTCCTCACAGTTCTGTTTCTCATGGAGTTACTGTGTCATGTCACACTCCTTGCCCCCCGCCCCTCATTCTCATTGCCACTTGAATCAGTCCAGTTTCACATTCCTCTGTTACTGAAAAATCTTCCAACTCTCCATTGGCTTTCAAATCCAGAAACCCTCCTTTATTTCCCATACTGTTGTGCAAGTTTCATTTCCTAATACACAGATCTAGGCAGGTGGTTCTAGTGTAGAAATTCTAACAATTTCAGAATATAAGGTACAATCCTTTTCAAGGTTTGACTCCTCTGCAGATCAGATTCCCATCTGCCTTTAACACTTTAGCCATAGATTGTTCTCACACAAGTTCTCAATGTTGTTCCCTCAGCACAGAATACCTCCCTCTGTCTATACTAGTGATCTGCAACCATACTTTGAGGCTTAGCTACAGGCCTCACCTCTTCTAGAGACCGCTGTCCTGTTTGAATTAGGGCCGGTCTTAATGCTTGCCTCAAGTCCAGACAAATGTCTAAGAGGTTGCACTTCCCCAGCAGTGTCCCCATATCAGGTATTTGGTGTTAACATGGGTCTCCCCAGAGCACACGACTAGTCCAATGGCTTAAATGAGGACAAAAGTGAATCAGCCTGGCCCTCTGGTAAACCTCTGGATATTGGGTTCATCATCATGGAGAGTTCATCATGCTACTCCGAGGGGCAGACACATTCCTTCTGCCACCAGGCTGCCTTTCTAGGAAAGAAGTAATTTAGTAATACAATACTTTCTTCTCTCTCCCACCTGAGATAAGAGCTAAGAGTACATTCAATTCATCTGCTACCTGGAAATGAGGGATCTTATAACTGAGCACGGAATCAAAATCAAGAGTCTCTCTCCTGGGATAAGTCACAGTGAAGCCTTTGAAAAGAACACAGAGACCTGAATTTAAAACATAGCCAGCATAGCTAGTCCAAACATTTCTAAGTGGCCACCTCCTGAGAGATTGGCAACAGGAAAATTTCATATTCCGGCTCAGGTTGCTGCTTGAGGCTTCAAGTGAAATATTCAATCTCATGCATGGCTTGTCTTTAGCCTGACGCCCTGCATGTCCCATACAGCCAACCCAAAACCACTAAGACAAGTGTTTACTAGAAGAAGCAAAACACAGAGATTCAAGAGGAAGCAATTAATCCTGAGGACTTATTCTGCATGCTTGACCCAAGTGGTCAATTCCCAAGGGAGGATGGTAGCCAAGCTGGCTATTCTGTCCAGATGAGAAGGTAGGCAGGAACAGATGCAGAATTTCAGCCATGCACATCATTGGCTAGAAAGATGAATGCAATAATGGTGGCTTTTATTGTTTTCCCAAGATGTGAAGTGAGGGTGATATGTGTTCCCAGAGGATATGGGAACTCTTCCCAATTCTACTCCAGCTTCCTTGTTCTTTCAGACCAGACATTTGAAAATTAGAAAAGCAGCTGTTTGGTGAGGGACCTGAGTGTCTCTTCCCCCGCCAAGGGACCCAAGGCACAGGACAGCATGCATGGGGTTCCACTTTAAGAGCTGGCTCTTCTCAGGCACACATCACTCAACTTCATAGTCCACTATTCAGAAAGTGAGAATTCATTTGGAAAGTTACATAGTCATCTGCTCTTAGGCCTGGAGACCAAATGAGAAACCCTTGGGATGGGTTTATTAAGGACTGATTCCTGGATGCATCTTAAGAGGCCATGTTGAGTAATTTTGATGTAGAGGAGTTCTTGGTGGCTACCTCACAATAGGGCTGGGTAAGGAACATTTGTGCTCAACAAATACTGGCCCTGTGCCACATCGGAATTTGTTTGGGGGTTTGGATATTTCTATTATCTGACATTGTCAGCTGAATTGAAAATGTATTTTCCCTATTAATAGAATTCATCATGTATTATGTTCCTTCTCTTGAATTTTTTCCGTTACTTGCTAGTGTCCTTTATACATTGATTTCTCCATCCACTTTCTTAAAGAAAAGTAAGTACCATAGACCAAAGCAGGCAGAAACACATGGAGAGAGTCCTTTGTTTCAACCAGTCACCAAAGAGCTTCTTTTTCACTGATACCTATGTGCTCACAATGAAAATCTTGGCTATGACATTTTTTTCTGTGTGATTTTGTGACTAAGCTTTGAGAAGATGATTCTCATTAATTCTAGAGAAAGTAGTCAAGACAGTTTATCTACAGGTGCCCCTTGAGTTCTGGGAAGTGTCTGACTTTTATCCAGAAAACAACAACTCTCCCCAAAAGTAAGCAAATGGAATATTCATTCAACTTTCCCTTTTGTTCACATTTCTTTAAAAATAAGTACATTATCTCAATTCACTTCTTACCTTAGAAACCTGCAAACACACATTTGCCTACTTTGGGAGAATGTGTAAGTGTGTATAAGCCCTCCAAACAAATGAAGAAATAACAAGAAAGAAAGAAAATGAAAAAGGAATGGCTAAGCATGTTCACACACCAGAAAGCGAAGCCAGCATTCTCCCAAGCAAATGGCCTATTCTTGAGTCTACCATGTTGGTCAACACACAATCAATGTGCCTCTGAGTTAGCAGTGGGACACTGTCCCAGGAATCTGGATGTCCAGACACTGAACTTCACCCGGACATAGCATCACTTGGGAATGGGTTTTGCCCATTCTCCAACACTATGATGTAGTTCCCTGATCCCTGTGGAAGAGGCTTATATACCCTGTGTGCCAAAATAACCCATTGCATTAGCATCCCAGAGGAAAACTCGAAGAGACACCCAAATTCCATGGTCTTTCATCACATGACTATCATGGTGAGGAAGACCAGAGATCAGCCTCACTCCCTAAGTTGATGTGCTCCACTTTTCAGCTTATTTCAGCCTAGCTTTCTCAGATCTGGCACCTGAGAAGAAGAGGGTATATTCTCAGTGCTAGGTTCCCATGTTGGGAGGACTAGTAACAGCAAATATCAGGAGTGTGGATTAACAGTAGCATGAAGGCCCTTCTCAGAGCCTGTCTTCAGCATTGTTCCAGAAGCCTGCCTGGTTGTTGTCTCACTAGCTAACATTGTTATCAGCATGTCTCTGATGAGTATCTTTCCCTAAGGACTTCTATCCCTCCAACAACTGGTGTCTAAAAATACAGAATTCGTGCATCCTCTGTGAACCCATCAACAGTAAGTTGGAAATCTCTGTCTCCTGAGGAGGATCTGTAGGAGAGGGTAAGTTGACAGCCACTGTAGGAACATTTATTTAGGCTGCACAAGAAGCCTTTATCATCAATATGCAAATCTACTATCAGGCTTAAAACACTGAAGGTTTTCACATCCTGAAGTAGATGCAGAGAAAGGGGCTTCAAGGTTTCTTTGGCCATTTAACAAAAAGGAGGCAATAAAAAGAAATATTACTACAATTCTTCATTGAGAGAAAATAAAGTAATAAAAGATCAATGTTTGTTTTTTTTTTTTTTTTTTTTTTTTTTTTTTCCTGAATTAGTGACAGATCCCTGGACACAGCAAAGCAAAGGGTGGAATAACTTGGCATTTTCTCAGATGACCCTATCCAGGCTAGCAGGAGCCCCCATTGTCCAAGAGTCCATGCACAGAAATCAGAAAAAAGGATGTTAACCTTTCTTGCTCTGGCTTCTGGGTTGGAGCAAATGACTATCGATCACTGACTGATCAAGGATCAGAAATAATAAACTTAAGGACTGTGTATTAGTGGCAGATTCAGGGCACTTCAGAACCTGCTGTTGCCATTGTCCCAAAAGCCTGCCTGGCTGTTGTCTCAGCAGCTAACATCATTATCAGCTGGGAAAAGGCTCCAAGCCCAGTCCTGCAGGGCCAGCTCTGGAGTTCTGGAAGGTGTGGTTCGAACCCACAAGTCTAAGGTGAGGAGCTGGGCTCCATCTCTCTTATTGACCACCTCTCTTTCCCCTTGGACTCCAAATCAAGGGAGGGCCTCTTGGTTCCTCGTGTGGTCACTCACCTTTCATACCACTACCTTCTTCTTGGAATGTGTTACGAGCAGTGGTCTGATCTTCTAAGTGTTCACTCCCACCACTTCCTGAAGAGGCTACACTGCTTTGTGGAGACAGGGGGGCATGATCGGATGGGAGGCACTGGGGTCCTCTAGCTCGTAAGTCCTCATGAGACATCCATCCATGTCCTAGAGGCTGGTTTGGCACATTCATGGGTGGGGTAAGGGAAACAGATCGTTTCAAAGGGCTGTGGTGTGCCTGGCCTGAGAGAACTGGAAAAAAAAATAAAATGAAATAGGTTATTCTCCCCATGTTAGCCTGGGACGCAGAATAACCCACAATACCTTTGTACCCTCAGAGAGACCATGGCTAACTCTTAGACTCCACTGGTGGCCACAATGGGTTAAATCAGGTGTGGGACTGTCCTTCCCTCTGGTGGCTAAAAAGGAGGCTGCCTGGACCTGCTTATGGGCTAGGTTGAACCCTGGAGCCCAAATTTATGGTCCTCTCACACCCAGTCTTCATGTTTGTGAGTTTTGATCTGGTTTTATTTGAAACTTGAAAATCAGACTTTGGAGCAGCTGGGCAAAGCTGAAAGCTTGGAAGTGACCATCCAACCAAAGTGAACAGAGAATGTGTTTGACAATACTTTTTAAAGAGCAAGAATGATATTCCCCACATTGGTACAGTATGGAGGACTTGGAGGGTAGGCAGGCTGGTCCCCATCTGGGATCCTTGCTGGGCTGATCTAGATGCTGAACTAGTTATTCTAAACAGGAGTTAGGGAACTGTCACCTCTGAATGGTGGGAGGAGCTCAAGGATGGAACCCAGCACTTACATGACCTCAGGGTATGGGACACTGGCAATCAGGCTGGAAAGGCTAATTCTTTCCCTTGCCCTCAGGGTTCATGTCAAACTCTATTTGGCAAACACCTTTAGATAACAAGGCTTTCATTCAGAAGTCAGCAAGGCACTCCCACTAAGCATGTTCAGTCCTTCCACAGTGGGCAACATCTACATAGCTCCTTTTTTATTTTCCAGAAAACTAGGAAAAAGCAACAAAATGCACGTAACTGGACAAATTAAATTGAAGGCACTCAAAGGAGAGATTTACCCAACATCAATGCTGAGGTTACCCTTGGTTGGTTTTGCTGGGTGTGTAAAGTGACTTTACAAAATAAGTCTATTCATAACTTTTCTCGCAGTCTATTTTGATTGCTGCTGTATTAATGTGGAACTGAGCCAGAAGCATTTTAAAACATTTTCCAAGGAAGCCATTGATTCCATCTCCAGTTCTAACTTCTCTAGTAAGGCATTTACTGTTTCTAGTTTCAGCCATATATTTCTTTGCTGGCAAGAAATTTCTGTGTTTTTCACTAGGTAGACCAGATGGCCCAAATAGTGGAAGACACTGCCTTTAGATTGCAGATGAATATTATCTACATAAAGACCAGATAAGGTGATTATCATGACCCCATCTACAAAATAAAGACCAGAGACAAAAGGCAAAGTACTGCCAAAAAGCATGTGAGGTATGGCCTGACAGTTAGCTGGCAACACTCTAAGCCTTAGAATCTAAGGGCAAAAAGGTGCAATACTTTTTGGGTCAGTGTTTCCACTTGCCTTGTATATGAAGTGGAACAATCAGAAGGACTGAAAACTTCTTTATTAACAAAAAAGTGTGGGTGGGAGTGCTTCTGAGTTTAACATTTGTAATCTACTTAAGAAATTTCTAATTTGACTAGATTTGGTTTAAGGCATGGAATTTTTATCTACCTTAAATAAACGTGAATTCGACTTTTAAAAAAATGACCCTATCAGGTTTGTATTTTCACTAGATTAAAACAAACTATTTGAAAAGGCTTTCTGGGAAAATACATTGCTTCCTAATTTGAGTAAAACTAGAAAAAAAAAAGGCAAAATGATCAAATAAATAAATAAAAAACAGCGAGAAAAATGAATAGAAAGCAAAACTAGACATCCAGAAAATTCATTTCATGCCTATCTAAGCATTTACATAAAATTGGGCAGACTTGTCCGGAGCCTCCCTGAGTGCTGGAACATTCTGGCTCAATTCTGAGGTTTTGTAGCTCTGGAGGGGAATTTGAATGCTAGCCAGGTATGACCATGTTTCTACCTAGGTCCTTCTCCTCCACACAGCTGGGATTCAAGTGAGTGGGATCTGACAAAGCAGGTGCCACCTGTGATAGCTAGGATGTTTAGATGCAATAAGAAAATTGAGAAACAACATCCATGTTTCATGGTTCATAGCTGCTGTTAGTATGGTATTGTATTTATGTGTGTGTGTGTGTGTGTGTGTGTGTGTGTGTGTGTGTGTGTGTGTGAATGCTCTCATGTGCCACAGTATGTGGGTGGAGGTAGGTAGGAGGGCAACTTGTAGGAATTGGTTCTCTCCTTCTAGCCTGTGGGTTCAGGGATTGAACTCAAGTTGTCAGGTTTGGCAGCAAGTGCCTTTACCCTCTGAGCCATCTTGTCAGCTATTCATTTTGATTTGGATGTTTAGAATAGTAAGAGTAGCTGAATTACATTATTGAATGAAACCACTTTCTTTTCTTGCACCTAAAAATTTCTCAGAATCCATGCTGCCTCTCATTCCTGGTGGAATGGCACAGTTTGGGAAGCTGCCAGTGTCCCAGAATGCCACCAGAGACTGGGATTAGAGATAGATGTTTTCCTCCCTGGATTGACTTTTTGGGATTTGCACAGACTACACAACTGTTTCTGTTTTCCTGGGCTTAAGTGAAGTCAGAAGGGGGAGGGAATGAACTTGGCCTTTGCTGGTGACTTTACATCAAAGGCCATCTCCTCTCTATCATAGAGGGAACCCTCTGCTTCTTAGTGCTTCCTACATTCAGTTCTCTCTGAAGTCATCCTGCTGGAGTGCCAAGCATAGAACCTTACACAGAACTTCCAGTATTTAGAGAAGGTGGGGGTTTACAGCTGGGCTGAACATCATCCTAAACCAAAGGAAGCCTGCATGAGAAAACATGAGGCAGGTGGACAGTATAGGCCTGTTTCCTCACTCTATATTTTTTTAAGATTTATTTTTATTTTATGTGTGTAAGTTTTGTGTATGTTTGTGTGCCACTTGCGTGCTTGATGTTTTGGTTGCCTGAAGATGATGGTGTCATATCCCCAGGAACTAGAGTTACAGGCTATTGTGAGCAGCCTGAGGTGTGCTGGGATCTGAACCTGGGTTCTCTGCAAGAGCAGTTCACGCTCTCAGCTGCCTCCCCAGCCCTCTGTCCTATCTTCTCGAGTGGAGGAGATTGAAGATGATGACAGATGACTTTGAGGTTAAGATAAACCTGTAGGTTTGGTGATTCTTGGTGTTAGGTCTTATTCTGGAGTAAGTTGGTCTAAAGTGGCAGAGAAGGTAATGAATGGTACAGGCATTAAGACTAGTCCACAGCTGTGGAATCAGTTTGAAGTGCCTGGGACTGATCATCAGCAGTGGCCCTATAGATGCATTTATTTTAAGAACTCACCTGAAGCAGCGACCCAGGGGAGAGAAGATATGTGCACTTAGGGGAAACAATAATGAAAAAAAAAATAGTATGTTTGTTTTCCTATGCGTCAGGAAGGAAGAAAAGTCAAACCAGGTACCTGAGAAGTTTCTCAGCCTGGCTGGTGTTAGCTGCCTCAATGACTCTGGCACAGGTTCTTAAATGCACTTGCTACTGACTGCTGTGCCATAGCCAGTGGCTAACGATTGCTTCAGAGGGCTGTTCCAGAGTCATGTTCAAAAGCTGCATAATGAAGTGCACCATGACAAAAAGCCCACAGGGACCAGGAATTGGCAAATTCTGCGAGAGCAGAGGCCCTAAATTTATACTTCATTTGTTACTTTTACAACAGTGTGGGGAGGGATGGCATGCTGTGGGATTGGTTTCGTGATATGAAAACTCCCAGGGAACATGGTTGTGACTCCTTTGCATCCCTGAAATGAATCCTCATGATTGTATTGTAGTACAGATCCAATTCTGTTTATAGTTTTAGAACTCTCTACACAAAATTTCAGGTCTGTCTTTGTCTGTATATGTAGCTTCACATACACATGTCTTTGGGATGTCATAACCTGCAAAGTCTATACATTCAAGTGACCTGAAAGTAAACAATAAGCATTAAGTATGTCTATTTCAAATACGCATGAAGAGAAGCAGCTAAAAATGATCTTGCTATATAGCAGCCAAGTACATGGAAGAACTAAGGGTGTTCTGACCATACATCCGCTCCATTTGCACTTGGGCTGGCCAGTTTCTCTGCCCTCTTTCTGCCTCATGATTTCTTTCTCATCGCCTAGCATCTTTGATGGGCCCCTCTTAACACCTTGGGAAGGAAATATACGGCAGCTGTCCATGGGATCTGTTCCAAGCATTTTCCTGAAAGCCTGGAATTCAACATTTCCTTTAACCAACTTCTACCCCACCTTCACTTTGAATTATTGAGATAAAATTCAGGCAGAAAAAAAATAAGATTATTTAGGACTCTTTGAAGAATACTAAGTAAAACTATGGTTTCTGCCTTCTGGAGAAATAAGGTTGTTTGTGGGGGGAGATGAAGGATACTGGACCTACTGTCTCTTTGGTTCACTGTTGGATAGAATCTTCTGAGGGGACAGAAGCTAACAGTGCAACTCTAACAATAAACCTCTTCCGATGTTAACACAGGCCCTTCGTTGTACACTACACTTATGAGTTCTTTCTCATTTTGTGATTTGTAATTAAAAAAACTTTATGAGGACAGACTCCTAACACTTGAGAAGTAGAGGCCTCTGAGGAAACAACATCACTCAATAATTTCTAATTGAGAGCTGTGAGGCCTGGGCATCCTTATACACACCAGGCCCTGTCAGGGGATGAAATACTGTGCTATGAATTTTCTGAGTATGTGGACAATTTAAGAGAAAAAGATCTATGCTGAGTTCGTACCTATTTGGGGTTTGTTTTCATTTGGCTCAGTGGATTTGAAGTACCACTATTGTTTTAGTGGGGACCTCAGCCTTTCCATATTATTTATGAACTCACCTGGTTCCTTTGTCTATTAATCTGGGTTCCTTTGTCTATTAAGCTGGGGCACTGTCAATTGACAGAGATGACTGGTTATGTCTTTATTGACAGACTCTTCCTGATGTAATCCAGATACTTTAGGAACTGTTAGAGTAGTACTTTTTGTGGTTGTGATTCCTTTGTAGTCAAATCAGCCACGACTCCCCTTTGCTGTCACTGGGAGTTTCTACTTATTTCAGGC